TTAGATCACTCCCTAACACCATACACAAAAATAAGCTCAAAATGGATTAAAGACCTAAATGTAAGGCCAGAAACTATCAAACTCTTAGAGGAAAACATAGGCAGAACACTCTATGACATAAATCACAGCAAGATCCTTCTTGACCCATCTCCTAGAGTAATGGAGATAAAAACAAAAATAAACAAATGGGACCTAATGAAACTTCAAAGCTTTTGCACAGCAAAGGAAACCATAAACAAGACCAAAAGACAGCCCTCAGAATGGGAGAAAATATTTGCAAATGAATCAACTGACAAAGGATTAATCTCTAAAATTTACAGGCAGCTCATGCAGCTCAATAACAAAAAAATAAACAACCCAATCCAAAAATGGGCAGAAGACCTAAATAGACATTTCTCCAAAGAAGATATACAGACTGCCAACAAACACATGAAAGAATGCTCAACATCATTAATCATTAGAGAAATGCAAATCAAAACTACAATGAGATATCATCTCACACCAGTCAGAATGGCCATCATCAAAAAATCTAGAAACAATAAATGCTGGAGAGGGTGTGGAGAAAAGGGAACACTCTTGCACTGCTGGTGGGAATGTGAATTGGTTCAGCCACTATGGAGAACAGTATGGAGGTTCCTTAAAAAACTACAAATAGAACTACCATATGACCCAGCAATCCCACTACTGGGCATATACCCTGAGAAAACCAAAATTCAAAAAGAGTCATGTACCAAAATGTTCATTGCAGCTCTATTTACAATAGCCCGGAGATGGAAACAACCTAAGTGTCCATCATCGGATGAATGGATAAAGAAGATGTGGCACATATATACAATGGAATATTACTCAGCCATAAAAAGAAACGAAATTGAGCTATTTGTAATGAGGTGGATAGACCTAGAGTCTGTCATACAGAGTGAAGTAAGTCAGAAAGAAAAAGACAAATACCGTATGCTAACACATATATATGGAATTTAAGGGAAAAAATGTCATGAAGAACCTAGGGGTAAGACAGGAAAAAAGACACAGACCTACTGGAGAACAGACTTGAGGATGTGGGGAGGGGGAAGGGTGAGCTGTGACAGGGCGAGAGAGAGGCATGGACATATATACACTAACAAACGTAAGGTAGACAGCTAGTGGGAAGCAGCCGCATAGCACAGGGATATCTGCTCGGTGCTTTGTGACCGCCTGGAGGGGTGGGATAGGGAGGGTGGGAGGGAGGGAGACGCAAGAGGGAAGAGATATGGGAACATATGTATATGTATAACTGATTCACTTTGTTATAAAGCAGAAACTAACACACCATTGTAAATCAATTATACCCCAATAAAGATGTCAAAAAAAAAAACTATATTGTAAAATTTTTAAGAACGGGGAGAGAATTTAGAGTGGTGAAAAAAAAGAAACCAGTGGCTCAAAGGAGGGAGGACTAAACAAATTCCATGAGCACCTGCAGCTTGTTAGGCAATGTGTAGGTGTATTTTACTTTAAATTCATTGATATTAGTTACTTTAAAAAGCATTCTTATAGATTTAAAATTTTTTCAAAATCAGTTTATTTTTTCAAGGTGTTTTTCAATCACTGGAATCACATTTGAATGCTAATTTCTGCCTGACATGGTTGAGAACTGTTATTTTTCTTTACACTGTATCAGTCCAAACATGCCTGATCAAAAGGATCACCTGGGACTGTGTTAAAAGTACAGATTTCCAGGCCTGGACCCCAGAGGTATTATTTCACTTCTGGGGTACTTGTTTTCCTTCAAATTTTTTGTTTTTGTAATAAAAATATTCAAATCTATCTTCACTTAGCTTCAGCAATTGTTAACATATGCCACTTTTGCACTATGCCGTACCATTTGCCACTCTAGATAGTTGGATGGCTATATGGATGAATGGATGAATAGATGGATAGATAGATTGATAATTTGGCCCGTTTTTACTAAGGCACTCAATAATCTGTTCTAATTACTTTCCATCACAGTTATTTGACAGTTTGCAATCCCCAGGCTTGATGTAGAAAGGAACAATAGATGTTTAGTTAGAAAGTTACACTAAACATATAACTGTCAGGTGGTTCTTTTTTATTGTGAAACAATGTCATACATATAAATATGCAGATATAAACATATATGTGCTCTTTAAAAACTAGTAACAACCCATCACCCCTGTTTCACCACCCTATTAGAACTAGAACATTAGCAGGAACTTCAAGCCCCTTGAGGGCCAGAGCTAAACACTTTACCCACATCACTTCTTTTCCACAGGTAACCATTTTCCTAAATTTTGTGTTATTAATTACCTAATTTTATTCTTTAAAGTTTCCCCTATACATGTATCAGAAAAAAAGCGTTTTGTCTCATTTCCTGCTTTTGAACATTCTTAAATGGACTCATATGTGTTCTCCTATGACTGCTTTTTTTTTGTAGTGTTGTAATTTCGAGATTCATCTCTGTTGATGGGTATGGGTGTAGTTTGTTTTCACTACAGTATACTATTATATCATATAAATATACCAGAATATATTTATTCAGTGTACCGTTGATGGGCACTGGAAGTGTTTTTAGTTTCTTTTAGTATGAACAGTGTGTCAAGGATATTCTCGTATATAACCTGTGTGTACACATACAGTCACTTGAGGGTACATTTCTAGGAATGTCCAGAATTTAAGGTTCTAGAAAGGTAGGGGCATTTTCCTAAACACCAGATATTACCATCATTAAAGGAATAGGACCACTTCCTGGAACTCTTGGTTGGCCTGCAGTTGGGTCTGGATTTGTGGTGTGCTCCAGGGAGCTGTTTTTACTTTTAAGACACGTAGGATGTTGTACAACTAACTCCAGCTCCAGAGAGGGAGAGGAAGTGGTCCAGGACTGACGCAGCCTTGGCAGGAGGCTAGAATCTACATACTGGCTTATACCATGGTGACATTTGCTGGGTCAACTCAGTCTGTATTGACTACTCACTCATATAGTGTTCTAATGCTTCTTTGGCATATCTACCCTGTATTGGTGATTTCTACCCTACTGGAGCAACACAAATGACCACATTCTGTACTCTGATAAGCAGGACAACTCACTGGAAAGAACATGACTGGGAACTTAGAAGTACTTGAGTTTAGCAGCATTGGCCATTTACGTATTAGATGTTTTCATTTGGTTTTTTTCACTATTACATTATTTTGTTTATTTACTTTTTTCCAGTTTATTTATTTATTTATTTATTTTTGGCTGCATGGGGTCTTTGTTGCTGTGCACGGGCTTTCTCTAGTTGTAGCGAGTGGGGGCTACTCTTCGTTGCGGTGCATGGGCTTCTCATTGCGGTGGCTTCTCTTCTTGTGGAGCACAGGCTCTAGGCGCACAGGCTCAGCAGTTGTGGCTCGTGGGCTCCAGAGCGCAGGCTCAGCAGCTGTGGCACTCAGGCCCAGTTGCCCCACGGCATGTGGGATCTTCCCGGACCAGGGCTCGAACCCGTGTCCCCTGCATTGGCAGGTGGATTCTTAAGCACTGCACTACCAGGGAAGTCCCTGTTTATTTTTTTTTTTTGGTTTGTTTTTAATTTTTATTTTATATTGGAGTATAGTTGATTAACAATGTTGTGTTAGTTTCAGGTGTTCAGCAGAGTGATTCAGTTATACATATACATGTGTCTATTTTTCAAATTCTTTTCTCATTTAGGTTGTTACAGAGTATTAAGCAGAGGTCCCTGTGCTATACAGTAGGTCCTTGTTGGTTATCTATTTTAAATATAGCAGTGTGTACATATCAGTCCCAAACTTGCAATCTATCTCTTCCCCCGCTGGTAGCCATAAGTTTGTTCTCTATGTCTGTGAGTCTGTTTTGTAAATAGGTTCATTTTTTTTCAGATTCCACATATAAGCGATATCATATTTATCTTTCTCTGTCTGACCTACTTCACTTAGTATGATAATCTCCAGGTCCATCCATGTTGCTGCAAATGACATTATTTCATTTTTTTAATAGTTGAATAATATTCCATTGTATATATGTACCACATCTTCTTTATCCATTCATCTGTCAATGGACATTTAGATTTCTTCCATGTCTTGGCTATTGTAAACAGTGCTGCAGTGAACATTGAGGTGCATGTATCCTTTCGAACCATGTTTTTCTCCAGATATATGCCCAGGAGTGAGATTGCTGGATCATATGGTAGTCATATGGTAGCTCTGTTTTTAGTTTTTTAAGGAACCCCTACTGTTCTCCATAGTGGCTACACCAATTTACATTCCCACCAACAGTGTAGGAGGGTTCCCTTTTCTCCACACCCTCTTCAGCATTTATTGTTTGTAGACATTTTGGTGATGGCCATTCTGACTGCTGTGAGGTGATATCTCATTGTAGTTTTGATTTGCATTTCTCTAATAATTAGTGATGTTAAGCATATTTTCATGTGCCCCTTGGCCATCTGCATGTCTTCTTTGGATAAATGTCTATTTAAATCTTTTGCCCATTTTTTGACTGGGTGGTTTGTTTTTTTGATATTGAGCTGCATGAGCTGTTTGTAAATTTCGGAGGTTAATCCCTTATTGGTTGTATCATTTGCAAATATTTTCTCCCATTCTGTGGGTCGTCTTTTCAGTTTGTTTATGGTTTCTTTGCTGTGCAAATTGGAGATAATATATGAAAAGTGCTCTGCCTTTTCCTAACATTCGATAAGCATTCAGTGTGTTATAGCTTTTGCTGATGTTTTCTCCTTGTTATTTGTCATCACCCAGAACTCAGAAACCTGAAATACTGAAATTCCTTTCTCTAATAATCTTTTCCCCTTGATTGAATTAATGAAATCAATGAACTCTCTCCCCAACCTCCACCCCTTGTTTCAAATATCATCGCAACATCTAGATTACTTCTCTGAGTTATTCTCATAATGTTCACATATACGTGGTTTTTATTTAAATGTTTAACATGTCTTCTCTTGGACTCTTCTTAAACATAACATGTCCTGATTTAAACTTTGGATTCCTGCCCTCCCCAGTCCCAACATTTTCCCACCATCCTCCTCTCTAGTTCAGCTAATGGCATCACCATCAGCTCAGGTACCCTGACTTAAAAAGTGAGACTCATCCTCTACTCCTCTCTTTATTTAGTCCATCAGCAACTCCTGTGGGTTCTGCTTCCAAATCTTGTTATGCATCTGACGGCATCTGACCCTCTCTCATGTCACCTCCCCAGTCTAAGGCAGCGTCAGCTCCCATTGGGATTACTGCTGCCAGACCTCCCCCACTGTTTCTACTCCCACCCCTCAAGATAAAGTTTAAATCAGATCTGGTCACTCCACTGATTAAAGTCTTCCAAAGACCCCCAACTGCAATTACAACAGATTCCAAACATTTTGCCATGAGTTTCAGGTATGATCAGACCTCTGTCTCCATCTCTGACCTCGGTTCTCTTCTTTCCCTGAGTTCCAGTCACACCTGACCTTTTTCTCTCCCTTGCTCATTGCCCAAGCTCATTGCCATCTCAAGGCCTTTGCACTTACTTTCTTGTCTTTTGGGAACTCTCTTCCTACATTTTTAGTATAATGCTTTCTGTCATAGTTCAGATAGCTGAAAGCTCACCTCCTGAGAGAGCCTTTCCCTGACCCTCCTCGAGCGCCTCATCCATGTTTTTCTTAATCTTTAACTTTGTTTTCTTCATAACTGTACTATCTAAATTAAATCTTAAATATCTCTTGATACGTTTCACTCCACTAGAATATAATCTCCAGCAGAGTGTCCATCTGGTTTACTGCTGTATTTTCAACACCTATAATAGTCCCTGGTACATAATAGATGCTCAGGAAATATTTGTTGAATTAATGAAGGAATGAAAGAAAGGTAACTGGGGACTAAAAGAATCACAGGACTTGTTACATGTATCACTAAATAATAATACTAACTATATAAATATATTTTTAAAGGTATAAAATGTGTTTTTTTTTCAGGATTAATTAGAATTCTTCAAATGTCAGGTAAGTTTTTGTGAATAAATTTTTATATGCTTTATTTTCCAATGTGAACTGTGTGATTCCTTTCCTTAAAAAATTGGAGTTTATTTCACTTTGAAGTCACTTGTTTAATATTTGAAGAATATATATATATATATATATATATATACACTCATTTGTTCATTTATGAACATTCCTCTTTATCTTTGACAGAAAAGGATTAAAAGGGTTTTATACTGGCATATAGGTACTGCAAAAATCTCTAAAGTATGTGGGGGAAAGTTAGGTAAAGGAAAAATACAGGTAGGAGAGTAAATCTGCAAAGAGAAGTAATAGTAATAAAAAGCCTGTGATGGCAGCTTGCCTTTACAGAAGAAGACTCAAAAGTAGCCCTGCTTTTTCAAGCAATGTAGGAGATGATACAAGGAGAGAAACACCACATCTGTGGGATTTGTGTTTCTTATAAGATAAAAGTCAACCAGTTAAGAGATTCAGGACTACCTTCTAGTGAGTAATTTCTCTAATTTCAACAAGAGGGCAAGCTATAACATAACAAAAGTGACTTCAGTACCTCCCTTGCAGCAATTACAATGATCTAGGTTGCTTTTAGGCAGAATATGGTAAAAATGTGACTCACTGGAGATGAAGACTGAACCACCTCCAGCTGAGTTGTGTGTAGCATTACTGCTGTTTAAAGTATTAAGTATTCATTGTGTTATGTTTTAAATTTATTAAGTATTCATCATGTTATATCTTAAATTTATTAAGTATTTATCATGTTGTGCTTTGAATTTATTTAAACACAGCCATTTTCCAAAAAGGATTTGGGAATAAATCAGATGCACTCTATAAATGACTGTATTCTCCCTATTATATAATAGGAGAAAGAAGTTTTGCTACTGTGCAAGGAGTTTATGTAGATAGGAGTGAGCATCAGGTCAGCTGAACACTAGCATGAAAGCTTGTTGCTTTGATCATAACAATATAATTGCTTAGTTTTATTTTTAAGTCCATATTCAGGCTAAAATTCATCAAATATATTAATAGGTTGATGTCTAATATACATAATGAATTGCTTTTTTATAAAAAATGAGTGTATGTCATATTGGTTATATTCATTGATGCATACCAAAATTTTAAAAATGAATATCTTCTGTAATTATATTATCATTCCCATTGTAAATCAGGTCCCCTTTCTCTCCCCCAAAATATAGTCCCCACAAGCCCTGAACAACCTGCAGATGAAATGGAGAATCAAATAAAATCACCTGATCCAAGGCCTGGTGCCCCTCCTGAGTACAATTCCCATTTTGTACCAGGTAGGTTAAATACTCAGAAAGAATCTTGCCCCTCTCCAGAAAACCATACTCATAGTTAAGATTGCTTTTAAAATTAACTAATTAATTAATGGAATGATTCAGTAAATAAATACTGGATGCCTACAGCGTGCCGAGTAGTTTACTAGATGTTAATTAGAATTATATTCCTGTCTTAGGAAGGAAGTTGTGCAAACATTGATGGCATTCTCTTTGCTTGAATGTGAAGAGAACGTTGTCCTGTGAAGAGCACAGAGGGCAGTAACTGCCTATACTGGGGATTTGAGGGAAGCACTAACTGAGGAAATCAAGTTTTACTGGCACGTGAGGAATTTATCAATTGAAGGAAAGGGGGAATGGGCCATACCTTGCAGAAGGAGCAATATTTCCAAAAGCTCAGGGTCATGAAGTTCTGGTTGGGACAAATGGCAGGAGAAGTGCAGAAAAATGGAAGTGAATGGCTTTGAGTTCTGATTCAGGAGCTTGTAGTTCGGCAAATATTTTTATAAGTCTGAGTGCACAACTCATACTGTAAGCAGGGACTCGGGAAAATAGATACTCCTAAGTACTGGGGCAATATGTAAATTCTTTAAAATTAAAAATACTCTTACTTTTTCACTTGGTCATGGCTAAAAAAACTAAACAAACACAGTATTTTTCTCAAATGAACATACGTATGATAGATTTTCTTTTTTTTTCCAGAGAACAGCAAAATATCCACAGCTAAGCCAAGCTGTTGAAACTTAACCTTAATCCTGACTTGAAGTGGAAGCTTTAAAAAAAATCTTCTCTTGCTTTTCTACCAAATTCTAGCTACTGTTGTCTTTGCTGCTACTTTTTCTGCCTAGATCTCATATTCAAAGATGCCTATGGGTTTAATTAGATGCAAATTGCAGGTTATTATTTTTAGAGACACACAGACACACAGCATGGAGGGTGGGTGGAGCCCTCTAGGTGCTGAATTTTGATCCTTTGCAAGATGACAGCAGTGGGGTCTTCTGGATTCTGCAGCTGTTAATTCAGGTCACCACTGACCGTGTTGTGATGTTCCAGACTAAAAGGCAAACTGGAGATATTTCTTTATACTGTTATTCTCATAAAGAGATAAAAGTGACATACTATACGTTTATATAGCAAGGTCTGTTTTTAATACCAAATAGTTTATATCTCTATGCATTTATATCTCTGTGCCTTTATATTTCTAATAATATGGTTCTTGTTGGTATATGTTGAGACTTTGAGAATATTAGGATCCTTGACCTTGTGCATTAGAGTGTTACGTTCTCAACTGTTGTGTGCCTCCCCTTCCTCCTCCCCTCTCCCTTTTTAAGCTGCTTCACAAGATTTGGAAGCTCCCTGATTCACTTTTACTTTCCTTTCAGTGGGTAGAAGAACGGTTGGTTGGTTGGTTGGTTGCCTGCTTGCTTACTTGGTTGGTTCTTTGTTTTTCAGTTATGCTGTTAAACTAAAAATCTCTGTTAAACTCCCTTACTGTTCATGTGACTGTTCTCTTTCTGGTGTTTGACCAGTGATGCCGTGAGTTCGGGAAGATCTTCGCTGAACAGTCTTTTCCCCTATTGTTCATCCATTGTCAGTGTTTTATGTTGACCGTGTGAAGGACATTAAAGTCCTAAAACATCTAAAAAAACAAAAAAAAAAACAAAAAACACTCTTACTTTTGACTAAGGAAATAGTTTTAATCAGGATTATATTCAAATACATTTTAGTGATTTAGAAAATGATAAAGTATAGTGATATTTCTTTAAATATATATTTAAGTGTTTGTTTAGAGGCAGAAACCAGTGAGTTAGGCTGTGAAAGAGCAGAAGAAACCCCAGTATCCACAGGATGATGGCAAGGATGTTGTCTTGGCTCCAAACATATGATTCATGGAACTCAGGTAGCCTTGGCCCCTGCAGTGTTTTCTGAAAACAGGTCTTCCTTTTCCCCTTTCCCTCATGTGTATGCATGTTGTGTGAATCTGATCCAGTATAACCCCTCATTATGGCTTAACCCCTCCTAAATCCAAGTTTTTGACAACCCTACATTGTAATATCACTAGATATACATTTCTCTATGTTTTACTTCAGTGGCTATCAACATCTACATAATCTGTCTTAGATTCACCAATCACTCTATATCCAAGAACCTAGGTTCCAGCAGAACAGAAACTCCACCATTTCTAAGAAATAAACATTGGTTATAAATCACGTTCTGCTCATCTGGGAAAGTGTCTGTCTCTTCCTTTCTGTATCAAAAAAATAGCACAACTAATGAATTTTCAGTTATGAAAATCAGCAACAAAAATTCACTGTGATCACCATCTAGTGGCTGAACTATATACTTATTTATACTGATGCAAATTGTGTGCCCTTGATTCACATTAAGGAACTTGAAATACTATACTTGAAATTTTAGCTTTAATGAATTTCTTTAAATTCAATTATATAATTCCATTTGCATTACATTACTGGATGTTTGTTACCATTGAAAATAATTTTGGGCCAAATATGTTTAAAAACATAGTTAATAAAGAAGCTTTGTTATATGTAGTCTATTTAAAGAGGAAAATGACACTTTTTTGAAATAAAAAAGGATGATAATATTCAAAATAACTAAGAAAACACAAATCCCATAAAGCAGTATTTCTCACACTAGCATTGGTAGGAAAATGCTCCATAACAGAGTTCTTTATTTAAATAAGTGTGGGATACTATAGTTCACAAAGTTAAACATGTTTTGTTGTGTTTTCCTGCAGAACAATCAGAACGCTTAACGGCAACTTTAAAGCTTAAAAGAGAGTATAAAACATACACCATTTCCCACACGTAATTAGATTATGTTTTTTTCTTCACTTCTCTTAATATCTCTGAATAATACATACTTATAACAAAAATCATTTGATTACATACATTTGTATACAATTTTTTTAGAAGTATAGTCTCTAAACTGAATAGCACCATAATCTAAATTGTAATTTCCTTTCTAATTTATTGATCCTCAGATTTTGTTCCATGACATACTTTTATCTTAAAATCACATGGTTAATACCAGAAGAATTAATCATCAACTCATTGAAATGATATAACAATTAGTATTTCTGAGATAGTTTATGTGACTCTTTAGGTGCCTTGCATGCTTTTTAATAATAGTTCTAAAAAAAAGATGAGCGGGATATCCGATTTCCAATCCAATTTGGGTACTCTTAAACACAGCTCTTAAAGGAATTAAAGTCTATTCTTCACAACAAACTGAAACATGAAATTTCCTCCATTTTTTCTAAAGACATTAGCACTTTTTTTCTCACTTAGCTCTAATTTAACATTGTTTCTAGCTACCATTATTTTTCTGTTAGTCTCTCCTGACTCCTGGTCTCTGTCAAGAGGTCTGTGTTCTCTACCCTTAAAAATGGGTATTCCCCAGAGGTCCTTGGGCCACTCCCCTGTCCAGCCCTGCCCTGCCCTGTCCTCTCTCTCAACCTCTTCCATTCACCTGTCCTTTTACACTCTCCTAAGTTATACTGGGAATACCCCAAATGGTTTCATTTGCCTTTCACTTACGAATCCCTTAACCCCTACCCACATCAGTCTCCTCTGCTCTAAACTTGCATTTCCACCTGCCTGTAGACCACTTGCCCTGGGTGACCCAGGATCTCAAACTCAGTGATTCCTCAGTGCATCTTGGGCATCTCACTCCAGAGCACGTGCCCTCTGTTCTTTCTCTACACTGGAGGCCTGCAGGGACCCACGTCAGAAACTTGAGAATCTTTCCTCACATCCAGTCTATTACCAACGCAATATGTCTCTTAAACGTCGATTATTATTTCTCCACTTTCTACTCTTTTCATCACAATTAAACTTCCTTACCTCACATCTAGACTCCTGCAGGCACCTCCTTCCTAATCTAACCTTCTCATTCATAAAGGTTCTAAACGTAAAACTGGTCACTCCACTTTACATTTTACTAGCATAAAGTTCAGGTTCTTTGCACAGAGCATAGGTCTTTCGTAATCGTCACTTCCTACCCACCTTCCTTTCTGTTTTGTTTGCTAAATCTCTATATATTGCATGACCTTTACTCCTGTGGTACTGAGCTTCCCCTGTGCAGCTGCTCATTTTGTACCTGCTGTATCTAAAACCTTTGCTCATCGTAAAGGTGCTGGCGGGGTCTAATGTGTCAGCACTTACATCACAGGGTATCTCTTCTGCCTAGGTTAGTTGCCCCGCCTCTCTAATCACTTCACATACTATGCATCTACCAGTGAATATGTTACAGACCCAGGTCCTTGGACAATTTAATCAACAGAAATTGTTAAGAGGCCAGATGAGAAGTTCAAGCAGGGCTTTACTGGGATTCCTGCTACAGCAGAGGGAGCGAGAACAAGAAGCAGGTGGCCTTGCTCACTCCCCGAGGCAGGGGCTGAGCTGGTTCCTTAAATGGGGTGAGGGTAGGGACGGGTCAGTGGGTTGGGCAGGAGGCGTAGCCTGGGTGGTCTTCCCACCCCCTTGGTGGTGCTGTGTGCAGGGATCTTGCACAGGACCCTGCTTTTGCATACAACCCTTCATAATATTTCCTTATGATGCATTTTAATTTCTGTAAGTTTAGAAATGTCCCCATTTTCACCCCTGTGTTTAAAAATTGAAGTCTGTTTTTTTTCTTGGTTAGTCTGGCTTAAGGTTTCTCAATTTTGTTGATTTTTTAAAAGAACCTACTTTTGATTTTGCTGATTTTTTAAAAATTTATTTATTTATTTTTGGCTGTGTTGGGTCTTCGTTTCTGTGCGAGGGCTTTCTCTAGTTGTGGCAAGCGGGGGCCACTCTTCATTGCAATGCGTGGGCCTCTCACTGTCGCGGCCTCTCTTGTTGCGTAGCACAGGCTCCAGACGCACAGGCTCAGTAGTTGTGGCTCATGGGCCCAGTTGCTCTGCGGCATGTGGGATCTTCCCAGACCAGGGCTTGAACCTGTGTCCCCTGCATTGGCAGGCAGATTCTCAACCACTGCGCCACCAGGGAAGCCCGGTTTTGCTGATTTTTGTCTATTGTTTTTCCTGTTTCATTTCACTCACTTCTACTTCAGTGTTTATTATTTCCTCCTGCTTGCTTTGGGTTTGGTTTATTTCTAAGGTGGAAAGTTGGGTTACTGATTTGAGATATTTCTTTTTTAGTGTAGGTGTTTACAGCTGTCAGTTTCCCTCTAAGCATTGTCTTAGCTGCATCCCATAAGCTTTGGTATATTGTGCTTTTGTTTCATTCATCTCAAAGTATTTTCTCATTTCTCTCATGATTTCTTTTTACCCCTTTGTTTATTTAAGAGTGTATTGATTTATTTCCTCATATTTGTGATTTCCAAAATTTCTTCTATTATTATTGATTTCTGGTTTTATTCCATTGTAATAGAATATACTCTGTATGATTTCCAGTATCTTGAATTTGTTGAGACTTGTTTTATGGCCAACCAGTAGGTCTATCCTGGAGAAGGTTATATGTGCATTTGAGAAGAATGTTTAATCTGTTGTTGTTGGGTAGAGTGTTCTATACATGCCTGTTATGTATTGTTTCATTTATAGTGTTTTTCATGCTTCTATTTCCTTTTTGATCTTCTGCTTAGGTGTTCTATCCCTTATTGTGAGTGGGGTATTCCAGCCTCCAACTATTGTTCCTTGGATTGCCTATTTCACTTTTTAGTGTGTCAGTTTTTGCTTCATGTATTTTGAAGCTCTGTTTTTAGGTGTATATAATTGTTATGTCTTCTTGACGGATTGACACTTCTGTTATTATAATAAAATGTCCTTTACCTCTAGTAACAGTTTTTCTCTTAAAGTATATTTTGTCTGACATTACTATTGTTATTTCACTAGTTTTTATTAATGAAGTACTAATGCAAAGTTCAAGGATGAACCTTGAAAACTTGCCAAGTAAAAGAAACCAGATACAAAGGCTATGTCACATGATTTTATTTATCTGAAATGTCCGGATTAGGCAAATCTGTAGAGACAGCGGTTGCCAGGGACTGGGGGAAAAGATGGGGAATGACCACTAATGGGTGTGGGATTTTTTGGGACGGGTGATGAAACTGTTCTGGAATTAGACAGCAGTCACTAAAAGAACCCCTTTGGGGGGCTTCCCTGGTGGCGCAGTGGTTGGGAGTCCGCCTGCCGATGTGGGGGACACGGATTCGTGCCCCAGCCCGGGAGGATCCCACATGCCGCAGAGCGGCTTGGCCCGTGAGCCATGGCCGCTGAGCCTGCGCGTCCGGAGCCTGTGCTCCGCAATGGGAGAGGCCACAACAGTGAGAGGCCCGCGTACCACACACACAAAAAAAAAATTGATATCTAGTCTCATAGCGTTGTGGTCGGAAAAGATACTTGATACAATTTCAATTTTCTTAAATTTACCAAGGCTTGATTTGTGACCCAAGATATGATCTATCCTAGAGAATGTTCCATGAGCACTAGAGAAAAATGTGTATTCTGTTGTTTTTGGATGGAATGTCCTATAAATATCAATTAAGTCCATGTTGTTTAATGTATCATTTAAAGCTTGTGTTTCCTTATTTATTTTCATTTTGGATGATCTGTCCATTGGTGAAAGTGGGGTGTTAAAGTCCCCTACTATGAATGTGTTACTGTCGATTTCCCCTTTTATGGCTGTTAGTATTTGCCTTATGTATTGAGGTGCTCCTATGTTGGGTGCATAAATATTTACAATTGTTATATCTTCTTCTTGGATTGATCCCTTGATCATTATGTAGTGTCCTTCTTTGTCTCTTGTAATAGTCTTTATTTTAAAGTCTATTTTGTCTGATATGAGAATTGCTACTCCAGCTTTCTTTTGGTTTCCATTTGCATGAAATATCTTTTTCCATCCCCTTACTTTCAGTCTGTATGTGTCTCTAGGTCTGAAATGGGTCTCTTGTAGACAGCAAATATATGGGTCTTGTTTTTGTATCCATTCAGCCAATCTGTCTTTTGGTGGGAGCATTTAGTCCATTTACATTTAAGGTAATTATGGATATGTATGTTCCTATTCCCATTTTATTAATTGTTTTGGGTTCATTATTGTAGGTCTTTTCCTTCTCTTGTGTTTCTTGCCTAGAGAAGTTCCTTCAGCAGTTGTTGTAGAGCTGGTTTGGTGGTGCTGAACTCTCTCAGCTTTTGCTTGTCTGTAAAGGTTTTAATTTCTCCATCAAATCTGAATGAGATCCTTGCTGGCTAGAGTAATCTTGGTTGCAGGTTTTTCTCTTTCATCACTTTAAATATGTCCTGCCACTCCCTTCTGGCTTGCAGAGTTTCTGCTGAAAGATCAGCTGTTAACCTTATGGGGATTCCCTTGTGTGTTATTTGTTGTTTTTCCCTTGCTGCTCTTAATATGTTTTCTTTGTATTTAATTTTTGACAGTTTGTTTAATATGTGTCTTGGCCTATTTCTCCTTGGATTTATCCTGTATGGGACTCTTTGTGCTTCCTGAACTTGATTAACTATTTCCTTTCCCATATTAGGGAAGTTTTCAACTATAATCTCTTCAAATATTTCCTCAGTCCCTTTCTTTTTCTCTTCTTCTTCTGGAACCCCTATAATTCGAATGTTGGTGCGTTTAATGTTTTCCCAGAGGTCTCTGAGACTGTCCTCAGTCTCACAACAACAGTGAGAGGCCTGCATACCCCCCCCCAAAAAAAAGAACCCCTTTGAAGTTAAGTAGACCTTACTATCTTTATGACCTTAAACAATAATAACAGTAAACATAGTAACAAAAAATTAACCATGCTAATTATATGCTAGGCCTTGCACTAATCCTACTATAACCTAATGAAGTAGGTATAATATTATCTCCAAAGAAGGAAGCTAATGCCTAGAAGCTAACATGTTAACTTGATATTTCAACCTTACTTCTGTACCTCTGAAATGGGAATAATTGTCTCATAAGGCTTAAGAGGATTAAATGAGTTAATGTGTAAATCCCCTTAGTACATTTTGGTACATCCTACACACTCGTAAAATGGAACACCTTGTTATTTTTAAGTGGAGGTTGTGTGATCCATATCATCTCTTTGTAAAAAGTCATGCTAATTTCCAATATATTGTAGTGTTTATAATGTATAACACTTTCATTTGTTTTTGAACGCAGGGCTCCCTGGACCAGCTGTCCCTCCTCCTGCAGGCCACCCAGGAGGCTTGCCTGTGGGATACTACAGTCCACATCAGCCCACTACCTTCCCCTTGTACATGCAAACTGGTGGTAGCCATCCTATCCAGTACCAGCCTGGAAAATATCCTGCACAACATTCTGCTCCAATAGTATGGATGCCAATGCCAACTGTTATGCCAAACTGTCCTCCAGGTCTGGAATATTTAGCCCAGGTACTCCACACAAATCCAAATTATTTTCTTACAAAGTATGACTGGGGATCCAACAAAAAGAGACTGGATAGAGTGGATAAAGGTGATGGGTCAGTGATGACAGATGTTTGTGAGACTATAGGAGTGGTAGTGCTAATTTCAGAAATGTGAATGGGGAACAAAGAAGATAGGGATTTTTTTGGTGGGATGATACAGTTTTTGTGAAGGCTGTATATTGAATTTTAAGACATTCAAGATGTCCTATCGAAGGCAGTTTAAAAACTAGGAATTGGAATAGAAGAAAAATTATCAAAGATGTTAATTGGAGTGTCATTTGCTTAGAAGTAAAGGCTGAATGTCAAGAAAAGCAACATTACAAAGGACAGAACAGAATGGTAGACCGTGAGTAAATCACTCAGTGCCTCAGGCCATTGCTATTTCTCACCACCCATAGTTTTCATCAACCAGTCCTGTCACCTCCCAAAGCATACAAGGTAAATAAAAATAGGGGACCTCCAAGGATACTGTTTCAGGTCAAGTTCCAGAGAACCCCTTTCCACAACACAAGAGACTCCCTAATTTTTATCTATATGGACATTCTAGGACCGGGCCACCCATTTCAGAAACTGGGGCAACATGCCCACAGGTTTGTGTACCACCAAATGGTATTGTTTAAACGCCCCCCCCCCCGCGCCAAAAAAAAACCCATGTCAGAAATAAAAATGTTGCTTAATGAAAATAAGATAAACCTAGTATTGCAAATCCCCTAGAAACTACTATATCATGTTTCACTTTTAGAAAAAGCAAGTGTTGGAATATTGATACATTATAAGCAAGGGACTTGCCAATTCAATACATGTCTCCCTACCATAGTCAACCAAATGTTCCTTGGAGTTGACATGTTTCTCTTTTCAGTTTTATATACTGACTGTTAATCCTGTGCATTGAAAACCATTGTTACAAAGTTATAGTGTTGATCTTTGAAAGTAATACAGTTGGATCAGGAAAATTTGGATTTTACATAAACCAAAAACTCTATTAACCTGTTGTTTGGCAAAATATTGACAAAGCCAGTCATTCAGGTACAGTGCTAGAGTAACCCCTACATTATTTTGGAAGCTTATAAAATGCTTGTAAGTTAACCAAGTTTAGAAAGTTTATTTTTTTACCTGATGATAAATATAGAAAATTTCCTTAGAAATCCAATATCTAGAGTCATTTCTTTTTAAAAATGTATAGCTTTAGTATTGTTCATTTAAATATTAAAAAACCATTTTCTTAATTTCTTCTATTACTTTAGGTGAAGTTAAATGGGCATATTTTATGAACTCTATTTTCCCTTTCAGCAATGTTTTTAGTAAAAAAAAAAAATTGAAAAAGAAACAAATAAAACAGGTTTAGAGCCAGACAAACCTGGGTTTTAATTCTAGCTCTACTCTCTCCTCACTCTACTACCTTGAGTAACTTTTCTAACCTCTTGGTGCTTGAATTTCATCATCTATAAAATAGTGCTAGTGATACCTACCCTGTTGGGTTGTTAGGAGAATTTTTAATGAGATAAGGTTTGTAACATGCCTAATATTTTTGGCACATGGGACCCACCCAATGGATAATAGCTGTGTGGGTGTTTTTAGTTGAAACACCTTGTGTGTAGGTAGAAGACACAGAGCCAGGCATCCAAGGATTTTCTTCATCCTAGGCTTTTATTTTTTTATTTTTGGCCGTACCTTAGTTCCCCGACCAGGGATTGAACCCATGCCCCCTGCAGTGGAAGTGTGGAGTGTTAACCACTGGACTGCCAGGGAAGTCCCTATCATAGTCTTTTTGCCATCTCGTGTGCAAATTACATGAATCATTATCAGGACTATCCTGACACTTTAACATCCAGAGTAGCAGGTTTATATTATTTCTAGAATATTGGCTTGGCCAGTATTCTAGAACTTTGTTAGAACTGCTTCTTAACAACCGTAGTATCTTATTGGGTAAACTTTCACAGTAACAGGCATTTCTTTAGAATATTTTGCTCAGCAGTAGAAGCTCTTACCAAGTAGTGAATATTTTTACTTTTTAGTTACAGATGTTTAAGAGTCCCTAGAGTTTTTCAAAGGGACTGTAAACCACCCTAGTGGCCACTTTTGATAATTTTTTAAGACATGTTTAGGCCCTCTCACCTGATTGTGTTTTCATAAAAGAAAAAAATTTTTTTTTTTTTTTTTTTTCGGTACGCGTGCCTCTCACTGCTGTGGCCTCTCCCGTTGCGGAGCACAGGCTCCGGACGTGCAGGCTCAGCGGCCATGGCTCACGGGCCCAGCCGCTCCACGGCATGTGGGATCTTCCTGGACCGGGACACGAACCCATGTCCCCTGCATTGGCAGGCAGACTCTCAACCACTGCGCCACCAGGGAAGCCCGAAAATTTTTTTAATGAAAGAAAGATTGTATCCTCTCTATACCCTCCTGTAACGGATCACGCCACAAAATGTTTATGTCAGGTTACATTATTTTAAATTTTATTTATTACCACAGTAATGTAGTGTTCATTAATTAATGTATTCAACAAACATTTGGTAAAATATGGCATTTCAGGCAATGTTCTGGGCTCAGGCATTAGGAATGATCTAATAATCTAAATTATCTACAATTAGATAGATATGAGTAGTCTGTCCTTAAGGGGGTTTCTTTTCTGCTAGGAAGTTCTCAAGTATAACAGATGACGGGCCAAAGTGTTTATCTTTACAGTGATTCCTAAGTAAAGTTAAGGTAGAAGTTGGTCTAATGTTTCCTCTCCTTTGCCCTCATCCTATTCACATGCTTCCAGCTCTCTTGGATCTTCCTCTATTAAAGTCTGCACTTAGGGAAGACCCTGGCATCAGCAGCCCGAGTGAATGGAAGTCAGTGTGTTAACCTCTTTCAGAGGTTCTGTGAAGTAACATGAGATCGGACATTCCTGTGCAAGGTCCACCCTGCCTCATTCACTCTCCCTAAGCCGCTGAGAAAATTGACTTCTCTGTGGCTGGTCCATGTTAAACTGTCCCGAACTTCCTGACAAGTCCAGTTTGTGGCTGACATATCAGAGAGACCAATGAGTAGGAACTGAACTAGGCACCATAGCTTCTTCTAGGTGCTGTTACTGAAGCAGGAAGATGATTTTCTGATATTTTAGAGAATTGTTTCAATATTTTACAGTGGACCTGAAGGAAAGTGTTCTATCTGGACAGCTCTGCTAATAACCATCTGATCAAGTGCAGATGGGCTGACTTTGCTTGATAAAAATGTTTTTGATTCCATTCAGTTTCAGAAAGATATTTTTGTATCAATTGATAAATTTAATTTCTGTCTCATCAGTTTTTTTTCTAATACTGGTTTGATTTGATTCTGTTATTTCTCTCTCTCCTAATTGCTTTGTTCTATCCCAACAGTTGGACAACATACATGTTCTTCAGCATTTTGAACCCCTGGAAAGTATGTATAATTTTGTAGTGTCCAGCAATATTTGAATCAGGTGAAAATTTGCATTATCCAGTATCTAGTTCCTTATTTATATTGATCATTTTTTAGTGGTTCAAAGAGAAAAGACTATCCTCTATTACCCTATCTTCAAGAAAGTAATAAAGGGACTTAACTTTGTATAATTTTATCTGTTTACACATCATACATGAGCTCTTAGATTTCAAAAGGACTTAAACATTTTTACTTGATCGAATGCCCTATCCTTTACCCATCTCAACTCCTCCATATTCACTTTTCATGGACAAGGGAAAGAAGGAGTAAAAAGACTAGATGAGCTAGACAAGGGCACCCTAGTCAGCTAATCAATGGCAGAGCTGGAAATAGAGTCTCAGTCTCCTGAGTTCTAAGTCCAATGCTGTGGAAATAAGAAAAAGTCACGGTAAACACAATGCCTGTTCTCAGTTCCCCTCACTGTATCAGACCTACACCCTCATTTCATTCATTTTACCTCCACATAGAGCCTTTGACTTTTCTTATTTGGTTTTCTTATTTGCAATTAGTAATGACCCTAATCCTCTCAGCATATTTCATAAACTGATTAATTCATGGTCTGGTGTATAATTTCCTTTAAATGTTTTTATAATTAAAGTTTTCTTAATTCAAGTACTCCAGGAATATTGTTTCCAATCTTTGCTTCTATGTGGAAAAGTTTTAAAAATCATTTTACACTGAACTTCTTAAAAGAAATGTTTTAAAATTTCAAAATTACTTATATACTTATAGGGCATATGAATTACAATGGCATTCTAATAATTGCATATTTTTCACCTGAAATTTTTTTAAAAGCTCTTTTGCTTTAGGCCCCTGTGAAATACTACAAAAGGACTTCTTGAGGCCCATTTTAACTGCTTCTAAATTAAGATGGCTCTCTCATTTTTAGTGATAACAGGTTTTGAAACAAATAATACATATGATATTAAAAACAACCTGGGCCAGATGGTTTACTTTGTGACTGAAGACACAGATGACTACACCAGGAATGCTTATCGGACACTGAGGCCCTTTGTGCTCCGGGTCACTGACTGTATGGGCCGAGAAATCATGACAATGCAGAGACCTTTCAGATGCACCTGCTGCTGCTTCTGTTGCCCCTCCACCAGGCAAGAGGTAAGAGGACAGAAGTCTCATCCGTTGTTTCTTCCTGATCCAACTCTTCCCTGCATGGTTGTGCTCCTTCCAAATCTACACAGGAGGAGACTTTCATGGCACAGGCAGAATGGAAGAAGATAGTGGTGGGCGGGGGGAGGAAGGAAGCCAAGTGCCAAATTGTCTTACCTATGCAAAAACCACAAAGACATTTTTCATGTGGGTTCACGTCTTCAGGTGCTAGTTGGGAGGGTCAAGCACAAATGAGGGTTATTTAGTCAGTGATCGCAATTCTATCAGTTGTGTCTACTGAATTAGAAATTAGTCTGTTACCTAGAACACATATTTGTCTAAATGTTCCTACATATCCCCAAATAAGGTCACACTAAATGTAAACATGCTTTTAAATAGAATCGGAAGAAACTTCAGATACTTTTACTACCCATCATAATCTACACCTTGTTACAGATAAAGAAAGGGTGGCTAAAAAAGAATAAGTGCCTGAGGATGGTGTTACTCTTGGTAGATGCTGGAACTAGAAAGCAGATGTGCCAAGTTACAGTTTGGTTGCTCTTCTATAATCTGTGCTGCCCTAGGAAAATTGTTTGCTACAGGGAAAAGAAAAGTTTTAGAGAGAGATCCAAGAGAATTTGAATTTCAAATATGCCACCTACTTAAAAGTGGGCAATTTACTTAACCTGTTTTAGCCTCAGTGTTCTTAATACGTTAACTGGGCAGAAAAAAATACCTCCTAGGATTACTGGGATTTTAATTATATGTTAAATACCAGCATTTTCAATAGAATTTACTTATAGCCTCTGAGCCTTGATTTATTCACCTATAAAATGGAGATATTAATAGTACCTATCTCATAGGATGGTTATTTTGAGGATTATATAGTAAATAAATGTCAACTGTGTTAGCATAGTGCCTGGCAAATAGTCTAGTGCTCAGTGAATATTAGCAATTGTCAGATAGCTTACTCCTTTGTCATTATTGTCTTTGTGTAATAACAGTCTTATATTTGAGATCAGTCTCCACATCATCCTATACTTATACACACATTCTGTTGTCTTCACAACATACAATTTTCAGAATGCCTCTTTTCTCTTTTGTTTCCTATTACAATTGTCATGTCTGAGATGTCAGTCTAAGAAGCTAGCATGTTACTTTTTCATGGATTGTGCCAGAAGACATGAGACCCCTAGGTCAGGGGCAAAGAACTTTATTACAGCACAGTAAGCAGCATGAGCTCCAGCACGTGTGCGTAGGTCCCCTCATCCCCAAGTTCTACAGGGATGACTCAGAGGATCCCTGGTAGATGCTACATATGCAGCTGAGGGACATGGAGCTTGGAGAACTGACCATTTTATAACAAGGAGTAATTTTGTCCCAAAGGGAACATGATTTCATCTCTCAAGGCTGTTCACTGAAATACAACCCTAAGAAATAGCCTGGGGATAATGGAAGACTCTTTCC